TCCGGCATTGTATACATTCCCGCATCTCCACTTCTTTGCAACCAGTAGATTTCATCATGTAGTATATAGTTTTGAGTGATGTGGATGGTAGGGCAACTAGCTTTGCCCTTAACCATCCAAATCCTCGTCTAGCTAATAGAACTGGGGTCGGTTAGTTGTGGGATCCTTAAGCCTAAGTTAAACACCCACCACCTTACAGCTGTTCCGGAAAAGCTTGTCAGTGTGCGAAAAATTTCGTCGCGCTCACAACTTTGATCCAAGGCTGAGGATTTGTCATGATCAGGCACGGATCACTCGGCACCCTTCGGCGCGAGCTGCCTTTTCATTTCAACTTCAAACTTCAGCAAATTATCCTTCGCTCCCGCTCAGGATATGCCTCTCAACATCGACTTCAACATGACAGTATAATCCTCGCGTTGCCACAGGCGGTCAAGGCTCGCATTATCACGACACCCCGAGGACGAACGGTTAGGTCCGGGGTTTGACATTCGGGTCTGCCCGGGGTTCGACTTAGGGTCTCCTCCGGGTCAGACAACACTCCTTTGCGTCCGACAACAGGATCATATGCAATGATCGACTCCTTTCCGTTGGCAACACATCGATCATAGGCGACAGGTATCAACCCCTTGGTGTTGCCTTGGCACACTCCTTTATGCTCAAAGGCCCTGAATTACCCCTTGGTGTCAGGGCAACAGTTGTTCCTATGATCGGACCCCTTTACAATACAGTATATAAGTAATAGTAGAATCTCCTGTACAGTAGATTCTACCTCGTCTATATTCCGGCCTTAGACTGGCCTGTTCTGGACTTGTGTGTGACTAAGCTTGTCTGGCTTCAGTCTTTTCTCGTTGACTCGGGTTCTGCCTCCTTGTGCTCGTCGTCGGCAAACCCCGGTCTCCTATCCTCGACTCCTTGATCAGTGCTTTGACATCGGTTATCAGCAGGAGCTCTCGTAGGTGGTTATCAGTCTGCGTCCTCGCGAAGGATAGAACCACTATGATCTCCAACGCTCGCGATAACGCTGGTACCGCTCGCTCGGAAGTCGAGTTATGTCCGACACTATCTCATCGGACATCCCCTACCCTGGATCCTATTCCCCTGTGCTGGTGAACCTCGATATTCGAACCCCGGGGGTTCAGACCCCGGTCTCGGTGACATGTTGTCACACTCATCGTGGGTTCTTCTCACGGTTCGACTTCACCTTGTGTGGATCCTTGGTGGAAGGTCATGCGCTACTCGATGCAATGACGGACTCCCTCTCAATACCCTGCCGGGACGACCTCGGGTCGTGATGGCTCTGGCGATCAGGCTGAGCTAAGCGCCGTCACTGACAGGATTGCCTGTTTGAGCTAGCCGAACTTTGCCGAGGAGGCCCAAGCCGAAGTGAGTTGTGCGCTCCAGTAATTGGAGTCAAGTTGGCTTGCAATGCTTTCCGCTTGAACACATTATTGTAGCTTTCTGGGTGATCTGGGACCTTTTCTCGCAGTAACAACAACGTTAGGCGGTATCGGCCACAGTGCCGTTGCCGAAATAGATACTGATCCGGGGCCAAAACGGGTAATCCTTAGCTTTCCATCAAAGTTGTGCGTGCGAGGAAATTTTTCGCACACTGACAAGCTTTTCCGGAATAGCTGTACACCAAGTCTTCAAGAGAAATCTACGGCGGTCAGAGTGCCCCTTTAATAAAACCGGGGTAAACTGTCTGTTTTTCCCAGAATTTTGCAGTAACCAAAGTGTGTAATTTGTAATCACGAAACAAACTCACTTCCTACCTATACTCTACTTTCCTTTCCGCAAAGTGTCTTTTTTTCCAACCACTCCAAAACAAACCTTGGCAGGCTGAAAAACAAAGTGTTACCTGGGTCGGGCTGCCGCTGTTCCGGGTCCGGCAAGGTTGATGAGATTGCTTTTTGGGTAAGTCAACTGAGGTTTAACAGGAATTTTGTGTGTTCTGGAGATGCTTGATGGCTTGTGCTGTTCCGATAGCAGCAAGTCTGATGGGAGGTAGTTGAAGATATTCAAGTGAGCCATTCAAGTCTGCTGGGGACAGCAGGTGCTGACACAGACTCTCAGCCCAACAGGCCATAATATGAGTTTAATCTTTGTGTTGCAAAAAACCGGCAGATTGAGTTGTTTTGCATTGTTTCGCTGCACCGTTAATGGGCCAAATTTGGCCTCCCGAGGAAACTTGCTTCATTCTCCACGAGAACATGATGAAACTTTACAATTCTTCGTACCAGGGCATAAGACGGATAAATAGCACCGATATATGACAAGAAGCACCTCAATCAACCCTATATTGGGCTCACATTTTGTCGCGCACGCTGACTGTTTCGCTTCTTAGTTTACAACTGTGTGCCGCGCAGTCGCATAATGAGTTGCGCGGGGGGTGTTAGCGTCCTGCGCGCTGAGAGACTCGGACTCAAAGAACCTGCACAATCTATAGATATTGGCAAGTTGTAGTATCGAGTACAAGTTAAAGTGGTAAAAGCTGACCTTGCTTGGTACTACATGGCCTTAAATAACAGGTTATTGGCTTCTACTATAATCATATCCAAACACCCCAATAGGGATAGGGGTAGAATTCCAATAGGGGTATATCAGGCACTTACCCCAGCACAATTATCGGGTGGTGGTAAGCCAGGGGAACAATACCAGTTTCAGAAAATAGGATGGTGAGGATGAAACACAGGCCCAGCAGACGGCAAAGAAATATAGCAAGTATATTTGCCCATTTTTATGCTGGTACTGTGCCAAATTGTAGGGAGGCAACGGCCTAAGGACTGTGACAAGGCTATTGCCTATTTTTTAAGCAAACACAGAGCCGTGAGCTGTGACCGTTGCTTAAAGAAGCAACAAGATTTTTTTTTTGAGGGCAGATTGGGTGAATTCAGAGACTCTATGCACATATCTGGTGTTAGGTGAGATGCTCTGGCGAGCCTCTTGCTAATTTACCTCATTTCCAGTGCCAGCAGATTTTTTTAACTATTTTTCCTCCATGTCACAATTTTTTTAAGGCAACGGACCCTACCGCTACCGTTACCGACCAGAGAACAGGCAACACCACGGGGTCTCTGTTACCCTTGACCATTGCCTCCCTACAACTTGGCACAGTACTAGGCTTTGAATCAACTTTTTTTTCAACACCGACCAGACACCACAGGTCAAAGTGTCCTACCCTGATATGAGTACAATATATAAGTATCGCTTGTAGAATGGCTGTGTAGTAGAACATTTTTTAGATCTTACATCCACGGAGGGCAAGTTTGTGTCATGGGGCAGAGCCCCCAAAAGGCCGAACGAGAGCAAGGACAAAGCAAGAGGATTTCAAGGGCATAAAGCCCCGGAAACAGATGTTGATTCAACGAGCGTACTGTACTTTTTCGTTCAAATCGACAGTCACCCGTCATGCACCCCCTGTCGATGTCAAATATTGGTCTGGGTAACACATCACGAGGGCCTCTGTTGAATTGGTTGAACTTTGGTCACGCAAGTCAAAAATTCTATAAAATAGCAGAAAAAACATCCTGGCCTTTGGCAGTCAATTTCTAGCAATTTCTCAACCTTTTGTTGGGACTTTGCCTCTACAATCCCAGAATTTCAATGTCTGGCTGAATTCATACCTTGAATCAGCCTGGAACAGGAAATTTCAGACAACATCAGCCAGGGTTTCAATGTCCTCTCGCTATGCAGGAACTTATTTCGCTTGTCCTCTCCACAATTAGGGATGATCACCGTCCCGTAAGTGGGCACGGCCATCTACCGTCTTGTTTTCGAGCCCTTGCGGGACGGTACAGCAAAAAGCCGGCCGTCAAACGTGGATTGACGGGGCGGCGACAGGAGGATCAATCCTCCCCTCTGAGGCTGAAATAAAGGTATGCAAAAGTGTATATCATCCGGTGAGTGCCCCAGAATGAACCAGAAGATGTTGGGAGCACTCACTTTGCTTTCCGAGGAAGTTTCAACCATGGTTGAAAAGTACTTGATCACGTGCACGTGAGCACTTCTTGTCGCAGATGCACTTTCAACCTCAGTGGAGGGCATCCCAGAGGTATTCATGATTGCTAAACCTTTCATGATTATCAGAGAAAGAATTTTGTCAAATTTGAGACGATTTCACCCCGGAAACGCTTGGTAAGCACCAGCAAGCCATGTACAGCCGCCCGTCCCCGTCCCGTTCATGCATTTTGCCAAAGGCATGATGGGACGAGACGGCACCCCGCTTACGGGCCCTGTCCCACCCATAAAGACGGTCACGGTGTCCATCCTTATCCACAATTTCCGGGTTATGTTGAATTTTTTGCCTCATCACACTGCCCTGGACCCGATGTCGAACTGTTGAATTGGTTGAAAATGTCACGCGTCCCCACCCCTCGCCCTGTTGATCTGAATGAAAAAATACAGTACTACGACGATTGTTGTTGTTGTCGAACCAAGAACAATATATACTACAGAATTGATGTCGCTAAGGTTGCTAAGGTATTGTAGGTCTCTAGAATATTTAAGCATTGTAAATATTGTAATACAACGATGTAAGGGGCATGTAGGACCAGCCGATGCCATTGTAAGCCCAGCGGCTTACAGACCAATCACGTACTTACATCAGTTGTTCCTTTGTCTTTTACCACTTGTGTATCACTCGCCCGCTCGCTCGTCAATCCATACCGAGGTTCGGTTGACTCTGGTGTGATTTTGTCTTAAGTGTTTCCTGGTTTGCCCACCAGGTTTCCAGCCATGCCCCTTACAGTTTGAGGCAAGTCAGCCAAGGAACGAGACCACATGAGACTTGTGAGTCAGAGGTAGCAGGGGTGCAGGGCTTAATGATTTGAAACCCATCAACTCTGATCAATTTTTTCACTTCCCTGTCACTGAGTCTGAGATGGAGAGCAAGACAACCAAGACGACCACTTCCATGCCATGTGTAACATTGGACAAGAGAGTAGAGGTTGTGTAGTAGTGATAAAATTGTACAGTAACCAAAGAAATTGCAAAATGATGATAGCCCACCGCGAGGGTCGAACTCGCAGCCTTCAGATTGAAGAATTACCCGCCGAGGCGACTCTGTAAAAGTCTGACGCTCTATCCGATTGAGCTAGGCGGGCACTGGAAGACCTCCTTGAGAGCACAGTATGACCCGAGGAGATATTCCCAATGTGCAAAGTCTTTGAACCAAGCCAAACAGATTAAAAGTGAACGAGATACTGTTGATAAAGCAGAAGGCGAAGGGATCGCCTTTGTCTGGTGTAAGGTCAATAACATGAAAGACTTCCTTGAGAGCACAGTATGACCCGAGGGGACATTCCCAATGTGCAAAGTCTTTGAACCAAGTTAAACAAATTAAAAGTAAACGAGATACCGTTGAAAAAGAAGAAGGCAAATTGATCCACTTTGTCTGCCATAACAACAATGACATGCAGCAGGCTCTCTGTGATCCTCAAAGTGTTACCTGGTGGTACAATATCCCGATCTGCAAAGTCTTTGAATCAAGTCAAACAGATTAAAAGTGAACAAGAGAAATGGCTACCAATGCATGACAGCTGAACAGCTACCATTAATAAAAGGTTAACAGTGCCAGAAAGCAAAGTGAATCAGTCCTGGGCAGCGAGCTCATCATTTTTCAGGGAACTTTCAAAACAAGGCCTGGAAACAGTGAAAATTCACAAGTTAACTTCCCCCCTGTTCAGTATGACTTTAGCAGGCCCTGTGCCACCCCCTGCATCTCTCGGGCCAATGAATCGCCTCCTTCTTGATTTGGAACCAGGCGTAGTAGTGTTTGCTGGTGCTTGTTGTCACGGTCACGTGTGACGAGTTCCAGTCTCAGTCGTCCTTCGTGCTCAGCGGACCAAATGGGAACTGTCTCAACGTCCAATGCTTTTATGCAAGCTATCAAGACTCAAGTGTATCTACGCCTCGTAAAAACCATCAAACTTCCTGGCCAGGCCGATTGACCCAAATGAAGGTCGCGTTGTGAATGTTGGGCACGACGACTTCAAGAGTCGTGGTGTCGTATTGGAAGATTTGGGCCGCTAGTTTGGGTGTTGAGCGCATGTCAGACAGCGAGCGAAACACTACTAACTGTACGAGGAACCATTCAGGAAGAACGGCCACTGGAGAAGGTAAGTCGCGGGGATGTCGTCCATGTCATCTATGTTAAGGGTCACGGGTCCCTGCCATCTGGATAGAGTGTTATGGTCAACTTCAGTGCGAAGTGTAGACAACTCACCCCGCCGAGATGACTGTCGCAGGCAGGTCATCACCTGTTGCAAGGAGGCCCAAGCCGAACAAATTGCTCGCAGGGACGATCAAGTCGGAATAGTCAAAGGTGATGTTCTGTCCGTTGTAAAGGACCAATTCGTTGCGAGCCTGGAGGGGGCTGGCGGTAACTATCGAGGCTAACGCGACGACAGCGAGAAGAGAAAGTTTGAACATCGAAGGGGATTGGATGACAAGGGGAAGAGAACTTCGAAGACTACACAGAACCCGGAGCCACTTTTATACTGTTACAGTTTTCGGCCGGCAAGGAGCACTCACATCCTCTGTACTATCCGCGTCTATCGCTGTCTATTTGGTCTTTATAGACTGGACTAGTCTTCCATAGACCAGACAGACACCGATAGACCCGGATAGACATTGGGCTTTTTCCTGATGCACTGCGTTCAGGCCCTCCCTAAACGGGGCGGATTCTAGACCCGTTGAGTTGATGGCGAGACCAATGTAGACTTGTCGAGATGTCTAAACGCATCTCCATTTGCCGTAATCTACGTGCATGCCTATCGCGCAGCCGAGGCGCATTGATCTGCCTCGATTCCGCCAGTTGAGGTGGACCGGCGCGCCTCGCTCCCCTCCTGCTACGTCTCCTAAATTGTCGAGGCCTGTCGAGGCAGCCCAGGACGGCCTATACTGGGATTGACGAGGCGGCTAACGGCGGCTCGGTAGCACCCGGCTAGTCTGTTAGTTACCACGCCCACTTACCCGGTATCCTGCGTTATGAGGTAAGCATCACTCACGTGCACACTCCCGGAACGCGCCTCGACGCGCCGGGAGGCAAACGACGTGTCTAAGGCTGATATTGAGACTGTGTTCGGGCCACAAATAATGCAGGAGAGTTCTTGCGGTTTCCTTCAGGCATCTGACCCAGCCAATCTGAAAGTGAACATCTTCCGCCTATTTTCGTTGCATTTTCTATGAACTTTCCCAGGAAAGCTCATTCACGCAGGAAAAAATTGTGGGGTCATTCTAATCAGAGCCCGAACGCTCTTGAGTAGTTTCTGGTTGCTCAGATCAACGCATGACAGGAAAAACGCGTCCAAACGCGTCTCGCTAAGGCTTTGTTTGTTCAAGCATTCATGATGCTTACCTCATAACGCAGGATACCGGGTAAGTTACGCGGTAACCAACCAATAACCAACAGACTCTATCAAGCGAGGTACGAGCTAAGTACTGATAGAGCGTCTGTCAAGAGAGACTAGCACCCGGCGGCTATGGCGAACGAGACGTCTCGAAACCCTAGCGCATATCCCTCGTCCTTCGTGCTACTAGTAGGCGTAGGACTGATTTTCTGGTAGAGGTGGAACTGATTTTCTGGTAGAGGTAGAACTGATTTTCTGGAGCTGAGGTTGGCTTGCGAAGCGTGCGAATCTTACTCAAAAGATGACCGATAAATTGAGCTTGGATTTGGCTCGGACTTATAGAATTCACCTAGCAGCTTGAGCCGGACTCCCAAGTTATGTGTATGCCTCCCCTCAACCCATAATGTGTACGCAAACAGAAGAGAACTGGCCGAGATGCAGGTGTTTCACTTGCAAATTATAAGACCACAGCTCGACCAATTCCGGATGCTCGTGTTCAGCTGTAGGATGAGACTCAGGATAAAATATTCTTCCATGGACAAGTTGCTGAGAACGATACCAGCGCTTTAAACAATGTAGAACCGAGAGTGATCAGCACGACGCCTAGTAACCGAATCCCCATGAGGATTTTGCAGAGATGTCGGTTAGGCGACTTGCTTCTTCAAGTCGCGTTGTAGACGCGAACGACTAGACTCGCAACCAATCGATTTTAGTCAGCAACTTTTTCGATCACGAGACAGGCTGAGGGATCAAAAAAGCTTCCTAAAACGACTGGGATCTTTCGTCACACTTTTGGCAGGACCTGCCAAATTTGTGTTCGCACTTAGAAAAACTTTGCTCCCAACGCCTTAAAAAAGTGCCAAAAGTCCTTGAGGCAAAGTTGCGTAACTTTTGATTTCAAGTCGATTGAGACCAACTTGTTTTTCGACTTTCGGTGAGCATTTTCCCGCATACTACCGACGCCCAACCTCACCAAAAGTCGAAAAACAAGTTTCGCTAGATCCACTTGGAATCGAAAAATATCCAACTTTCACTATGGAACTTTTGGCACTTTTTCTGAAGGTTCAGCAGTGAATAATTCTAAGTACGAACACATATTTGACGGCTCCGCCCAAAATAGCAACCAGTTGTCCCAGCCGCTTCGCCAACCGTGATAAGCGCAGCCACGTGATGGCGTAACGCGGTTGGTCACGAGCCTAGCGAACGACCTTTAAAGTGCAAATGGTCCCACCCCGGCCGGCGTTCGGCTAAAGTCCGGCTCCCCTTTTAGGTCTCGACATGCTGCTTAATTTATTTTAGTACCTGCTGCGCTCAATCCGACCCACCATGCTCAGAGTTTTCAAAGGCGGGTTTCTCCTCGCTGCGGCGGCCACCGTTGGGGCGATCTCAAAGGTTACCCGCACCGGTCGCTACCTATACACCGACGATGGGACCCGTTTCTTCGTCAAAGGGGTAGCTTACCAGCCTCCAGGCAAGAGGTTGCATTTTGGCTATGAAACGGCTGCTCATTCGACATTCAGGAACGGTTGTTGCTAGTAGCACCAACTCATTCGGCGAACCCTCAACGTGTTTGTAACAAGTTACAATTTGTCCTGCCCCTCGCTTACTGGCTTGAAAGTCACGGACCCTCTTGCTGACAGCGCTGGTTGTGCAAGAGACTTGCCCTTTCTCAAGCAATTGGGCGTCAATGCCATCCGTGCTTATAGTGTGGACTCGGGACTCAATCATGACGATTGCATGGGCAATTTTAGCGCGGCTGGAATTTACACAATGCGAGTAATTCAGTATGTTTACTGTGGCCGGGTGTTGATCATCTCCCGTGCAGTATCGATCTATCTTTGCGTGGGTTTTCTCAGAATGTTTCGACCCTCGGCTAATTCTCCGCAGCACTCAATGGCTCCATCGACCGTACCTCCCCGGCGTGGAGCACAAATCTGCAGGACGAGGTGGGATGCTTCTCACGCGCATTCCACGGAAATTCACACACTTTGCTCAGTACCTCGCTACCGTGGCCGCGTTTGCCAAGTACGACAACGTTCTCGCGTACAATGTTGGGAATGAAGTTATGCTGAACAACGCGACCGACCCCGCCCCATTCGTCAAAGCAGCCGCTCGGGATATCAAGGCATATCTGTAAGGCGCCTCTTTAATCTGTGCTTTCAGCTCATCCGGTTCAGCACCTCCATTTCATCGTCGGCTCTCGTGGGGTATGCGGCGATCGACGGCGCTGCGGATTTTCTCGTCCCTCTTGCAAACTATTTGTCCTGCGATCCTTCAGGGTCTAATTCGGACGCCTCGGCGATTGATCTATTTGGCCTAAACAACTAGTACGCTCTTCACTCCCCGCCGAAAAACCAGTCGCTTATCATAATCAGTGAATGGTGCGGCAACGCCTCGAGTACAACGTACGATGGGGTCAATGGTGAATTCGCGGGTTACAACGTGGCTGCCTACTTGTATGGGTCTTCTGTTCAACATTCTTGGCGCTTCTAACAGTCTTGCAGCTCTGAGTTTGGAAGTGAAACCTGCGATCCCGGCGTACGCGTTTGGACCGAAACCGGTACCCTTTTCAGCTCCCCGATGACTAACATATGGTTCGGTTTACTCCCTGGTATGGCTTCATTCTAACTCGATCCTTTAGGTCAGGCGGTTTAGCCTTCTCGTATTTCCCGGCAAGCAGTTCAGCTGGAAATTTCGGATTGGTCAACATTTCCTCGGATGGTACTACCGTAACTCCAAACCAAGATTTCAAC